ATTCATGTCCTCACCGGGACGTACATTTTTATTTTTCTTGGGTTAATATCTAGAAGAGGAACTGTGGGGTCACATGGTAAGTGCATAGTTAACTTCATGAGAAATTGAAAAACTGTTTTTGAAAGCGGTTGCACCATTTTGCATTCCTATCAGCTGGGTACAAGAATCTCAGTTGCTTTGCATCCTTGTCAAATTTGCTACTGCCCATTAAAAATTTTTTAGCTGTTGTAGAGGGTGTATCGTGGTAGCCCATTGTTTTTTTCTTGTGAGGAAGATTGTCGCTGAGCTAACATCTGTGTCAATCTCCCTCTAATCTTCCTCCATTTTATGTGGATGCCACCACAGTGTGGCTTGACGAGTGGTGCTAGGTCCGTCCCCAGGATCTGAAACCTTGAACCCTGGGCTGCTGAAGCAGAGCACACAAACTTAACCACTCCACCAGTGGGCCGGCCCCCACTTTGGTTTTATTTGCATTTCCCTAATGATTAATAATGTCAAGCGTTTTTTCATGTGCTTACTTGCCATTAGTATATCTTCTTTGGTAAAGTGTCTGTTCAAATCTTTTGCCCATTTTAAAAATCAGGTTGCTTGTCCTATTACTGAGTTTTGTGAATTCTGTACAAACTCTGGATACAAGTCCTTTATCAGATATGTATTTTGCAAATGCTTTCTCTCAATCTGTGGCTTGCCTTTTTACTTTCTTCACAGTGCATTTTGGGGAGCAAAAGTTTGAAATTTTGATGAGATCTCCAGTTTATTAATTTATATTGATGCTTTGTGCCTTGTGTCCTAAGACATCTTTGTCTAGCCCTAACTCATAAAGATTTTTATCATGTTTTGTTCTAGAAATTTGATGGTTTTAGATTTTCCATTTAGGTCTGGAATATATTTAGAATTAATTTTCTATGTTGTGTGAGATAAGGGTTGAGGGTTTTTCATTTTCGTTTTGCATATGAGAATTCAATTTTTTCCAGAACCATTTGCTGAAGAGCCTATCTTTTCTGAAATGATTCCAACCATTTATTAGAAAGACTATCTTTTCCTAGTTGATATCTTGGTACCTTTATTGAATGCCAATTGACCAGTTACATGTGGGCCTATTTCTGGACTCTCAATTCAGTTTCATAGATGTATTTGGCTAAACTTACGCTAACACTACACTGCCTTGATTATTTTAGCTTTATGGCAAGTCTTGAAATCAGCTAGTGATTGTTTTTTTTTGCCAAAATTGTTTTGGCTATTCTAGGTTTTTTGCATTTCTATATAAATTTCTACAAAAAAAATCCTGCTTGAATTTTGCTTGAGATTGCGTTGAACCAATAGATCAATTTAGGGAGAATTGACATCTTAACAATATTGAGTTACTTGAACTATGAACATGGTATGTCTCATTATTTATTTTTGTCGTTATGTGCTGGCAAGTTGGCTCCGACTCCTGGAGACCCTGTGAATGAGTGATGTTCACAATGTCCTGTCCTTAGCAGCCCTATTCAGCTCCTGTAGACTCAGGCCTATGGCTTCCTTTGTGGAGTCAATCCATCTCATATTTGGTCTTCCTCCTTCCTTCTGCCTTCTACTTTTCCCAGCATTATTCCCAGAATTTTCCCAGAATCCTGCGTTTTCATGATGTTCCCAAAGTAGGGCAGCCTCGGTTTTTTGTTTTACAGATTGGCACCTGAGCTCACATTTGTTGCCAATCTTTTTTTTTTTTCTTCATCTCCCCAAAGACCCCCCAGTACATAGTTGTATATTCTAGTTGTAGGTCCTTCTGGTTGTGCTATGTGGGACGCCACCTCAGCATGGCCTGATGAGTGGTGCTAGGTCCACACCCAGGATCCGAACCAGCAAAACCCTGGGCCGCCAAAGTGGAGCGCACGAACTTAACCCCTCGGCCACAGGGCCGGCCCCAGGAAAGCCTCAGTTTTATCATTTTTGCCTCCAGTGACAGTTCAGGCTTAATTTGCTGTGGGACCCACTTGTTCATCTTTCTGGCAGTCCAGGGTATCCATAGAGCTCTCCTCCAGTATCATAGTTCAGATTTTCCTTAATTTCTTTTAACAAAGTCTTGGAGTTTTCAATGTACATGCCATCACATATTTTGTTAAATTAATCCCTAAATATTTCATGCCTTGTGATGCCATTATAAATGATACATTTAAATTTTTTCAGTTTCCAACTATTTGCTGCTGGCAGATTGAAATACAGTTATTTTTGTATGTTGACCTTGTACTCTGTGACCTTGTTAAATTTACTTCTTAGTTATAGTTGCTTTTTGGTAGGTTTCTTAGGATTTTCTACATATACAACCACATAGCTGGTGGATAATGACAGTTTTATTTCTTCCTTTCCAAACTACATGGATTTTAATTTGGTTGCTTGACTTATTACATTGACTAGGAACTCCTGTTGACTAGAAATAGCAAGAGGGGACTTTTTGCCTTCTTCTCAATCTTAGAGGAAAATAATTCAGTTTTAAATGATTAAATATGGTGTTAGCTGTAAGTTATTGGTGGATTTCCTCTATCAGGTTGAGAAAATTTCCCTCTATTTCTAGTTTGCCGAGAGTTTAATTTTAAATCATAAATGAGTATTGAAATTTGTCACTTCTTTTTTAGTCTCATATGATGAATTGTGTTTATTGATTTTTGCATATTGGATCAGTCTTACATCCCTGGGATAAACCCTACTTGGTCATGATGTATTCTTTTTTTAGATACAGGTGGATTTGATTTACTAAAGTTTTGTTAATGATTTTGTGTCTGTCTCCATAAGGAGTATTGGTCTGTAATTTCCTGTCTTTTTAATTTCTTTTTTTAATGTTGGTATTAGGGTAATGCTAGCTTCATAAAATAAATAGGAAAATCTTCTCCTCTCTACTCATTTGGATAGGAGTGGTTTCATTCCACCCTTGAATATTTGGTAGAATTCACTGGTAAAGCCATCTGGACCTACAGATTTTCTTTATAGGAAGATTTATAACTAGAACTTCAATTTCTGTAATATGAATTGAGAAATTTAAATTATTTCTTCTTAAGCGAGCTTTAAGTTGTTCTGATTTTCAAGAAATTTTTCTTTTTTATCTAATTTGATGAGTTTGTTTGCTTAAAGTTATTCATAACGTTCCCTTATTGCCCTGTTAGTGTATGTAAAATTGTTCTTTCCTGATATTGGTAATTGGGTTCTCCATTTTTCTTGTTCAGTCTGGCTAAAGATTTACCAGTTGTATTTTCAGAGAATCAGCTTTTGCTTTCATTGGTTTTCTCTGTTGTTTGTCCACTCTTTATTTGGCTGATTTCTGGTTATTTTTTTCCTTCCACTTTGGGTTAAGTTGCTCTTACTTTTCTAGTTTATTTCTTTTTTCTTTTTTTTAAAGATTGGCACCTGAGCTAACAGCTGTTGCCAATCTTTTTTTTTTTTTTTTTTTATTGCTTTTTCTCCCCAAATCTCCCCAGTACATAGATGTATATTTTAGTTTTGGGTCCTTCTAGTTGTGGCATGTGGGACGCCACCTCAACGTGGCCTGATGAGCCATGCCATGTTCGCGCCCAGGATCCGAACCAGCGAAACCCTGGGCCTTCGAAGCAGAGCGCACGAACTTAACCACTTGGCCACCAGGCTGGCCCCCTTTTCTAGTTTCTTAGGAATATTATGAATGATTTCAATCCTTTAAAATTTATTGATATTTGTTTTATGGCCCCAAATATGGTCTGTCTTGATAAATGTTCCATACACACTTGGAAACCATGTTTATTCTGCTATTGTTATGTGAAATATTTTACAAATGCCAATTAATTTAAGTTAGTGGACAACGTTAGTCAAGTCTTTTGTATCCTTACTGATTTTCTGTCCATATATTTTAAAAATTATTGAGAGAGGAGTGTTGAAGTCTACAACTATAATTTTGTCTGTTTCTTCTACTTTGATCAGTTTTTGGTTGATGTATTTTGAAGCTCTGTTAGCATTATTCTGTCTTGATGGATCAATTCCTTTATTATTATGATGCCTTGATCTGAAACCTATTTTGTGTAATATTCTTATAGTCAGTTCCCTTTCTTCCGCCTAGTGCTTGTGTGGCATAGATTTATCTATCCTTTCACTTTTTTCGGTAAGTTTTTTGTATATTTATCACTCTTTTATTTTTACCCTGCCCGTGTCTCTATATTTAAAGTCAGTTTCTTATAGACAGCGTATAACTGAGTCTTGCTTTACCTTATCCAATCTGACAATCTCTGTCTTTTAATGGAGTGTTTTTTTAAAATTGAGACGTAATTGACAGATACCATTGTATTCGTTTTAGGCATGCAACATAATGATTCGATATATATAATAATGGAGTGTTTAGACCATTTCCATTCAATGTAATTATTGATGTAGCTGGGTTTGCATTTACCATTTTAGTATTTGCTTTCCATGGGTCCCCATCAACTCTTTGTTCTCTTTTTCCTTTGTTCCTTTATTCATTTGTAGTAATCTAATCTTTTTATAATTCCATTTTATCCCCACTACTGGCTTACTGGCTATATGTCTTTTTAAAAAATATTTTTAATGGTTGCTCTAGGGTTTAAAATATTTAACTAATCATAGTCTATCCTTAAATAATATTATATGACTTCATGTGGTGTGTAAGAATTTTACGACAGTATGCTTCCATTTTCCTCCTCCTGTCCTTTGTGTAATTGTTGTAAAAAATACACTTTACTTCTACATATGTTATAAATGCCACACACTTTACTGTATTTGCTTTAAAGAGCCAAACATCTTTTAAAGAGGTTAAATAGGAGAAAGAATGTTTTTATATTTACCCACCTATTTACCATTTCTGGTGTTCTTTATTCCTTTGTGTGGATTAAAATTTTCGTCTGTTATGATTTTCCTTCTGCCGGAAGAGCTTTCTTGAACATTCCTGCAGTTTTGCTGGTCACAAATTTTTTATATTTGTTTTACTGAAAAAGTCTGTCTTTCACCTTTATTTATTTTTTTCTTTTTCTTCCTTTGTGCAGTAATTGCATTTGTGATACCAGAACAGGTACTTCCAAATATGCATAGAGTTCTCGCCTCAGCAGTGTGGATACTAAAATTGGAAAGATAAAGAGAAGGTTGTCATGGCCTCTGCACAGGATGACACACAAATTCAAGAAGCATCCCACTTTTTTGTTCTTCATGCACTGAACTGTACGCGTAAAAATTGTTAAAACAGCAAACTTTATGTTATGTATATTTTACCGCAGTTAAAAATATGCACAGAAATGGATCTAGAAACATACATACAAACTGTTCACATTGGCCAATTCTTGGGAAGAAGGGTGACTTTCAGGGTTTTTTCCCTTCAATTTTAAACCTTTTTTTGGAAATTATTTTAAACATAGAAAAGTTGCATGAGTAAAAGTATTGCCAATAATACCTCTATACTGTTTACCCAGATTCAACTACTCTTAACACTTTATCCATTTGCTTCATCATTCCCTCGTTTTCTCTTTCTCTCTCTGCAATCTATGGGGAGACACTTAAAGTCCTTACAAATATCTTTCTCCTCATCAAGATTTCCTTCTGGATTCAGCATCCGTGGATGATTTCTGTTGAACTGATCTTTACTATGATGGTTGCAAAATGGGTATTTTCCAATGCTAGCACCCCTCCCCATATACCATTTGGCACTGAGTGTTCTGCTTTAAGCAGGAACCCTCTGTAATCCCCTCAGTTTTTTATATATTTGTCACAGGCAAGGGCTCATGAATACCTATTTTTTTCAATGATTTATAATTCACTAATGTATTTGATTATTTTGCTGATCAAATTGTCCCAGATTTGGCTAGTGGAGTCCCTACAAGCTGGCTACTGTGTCCCTGTGATGTGTGACCCACCTCTGCCCATCATGTTGAGCACTTAATATCTGGCATAAAAAGATTTTCCAGGCTTTTCTTGTACCTATCTGCCCTGGCCCTGAAGTCAGCCATTTCTATGAAGAGCCTTGGTTCTTTTTAATGGGGAAAGGCATTAGAAACCAAGATGTGGGTGTGAGCTATGCTCATTGCTTGTGGGGAGTCTTTGCTTCTTGTATCTTTCAGTTGAGTGAATAGAAAATCAACAGATATTTATATGTATACATATATACACTTACATACAAATATACCTAGACATATATGTATATGCATAGATAAATCATAAACATGTGAACATATACGTACTTTAGAAATCACGAATTCACAGAAATAATTTTAATTTCCATCCGTTCCCACAGGGATTTTTTTCTTGCATTCTCCTCTATTCCATATTTGCACTTTTTTTTTTTTCAGTGAGGACCTTGGATTCCTCAAACAATACATTCACTTATTTGCTCAATTGCATAATACATCGAAAATAGTTTCAGAATTGCTTCATCCTTGTCTCTACGCAAAACAAACCCACTGAAAAGAGTTCAGGATTGGTTTGTAATTTCCTCCATGCCCATCAGTCCGCCACAAACTGAGGGTAGATAGTCAAATGCCGAATATTAATACCTTGCTCAGATTCGTTCTTTCTGTTTCTATTTCCCTCCTGTGTGGTTATACTACCCATTTGAAATCTAATTAAGCTGATTGGTTTCAATTTGCTCTCATTTTACTTTCCACACCCCATTTTTACTAACTTAATTGATTTTTGAGTATATAGAAGGTTATCATATTTTCCAAAGAAAAGCTGAACAGAAAGGTATATTTGTGCCACTCCTTCCCAAATCTCGCCTACCACAGTCTCCTTATAGGTCACCAGCTTCATGGTTTATCCTTCTTGTGTTTCTTTTTGTACAGGTAAACAGTCACAGATTTTCTTATTTTTCCTGCTACTATATATGCTTTTTTAAAAAACAGCTTTATTGAGCATAATTTACGTGGTATAAAATTCACCCATTTTAAGTGGGCAGCTAGACAAGTTTTAGTGAATTTATACATTTGTGCAACCATCACCACAATCCTGTTTTAGAACACCACCATCCTCCCAGGAGCTGCCCTCACGCCCATTTGCAGACAACCCCCACTCCCATCTCAGCCCCAAGCCACCACCCATCTGTGTTCTGTTTCTATTGTTTTATTCTTTCTATAAATTTCATATCAATGGAGTTACACAGTATGTGGTCTTATGTGTCTGGTTTCTTACTAGCCTCATGCTTTTGAGGTTCATTTGTGTTGTTGATGGTGTCCACAGTACTCACCTTTTCGTTGGTGCGTTGTATGGATGTACCACAATTCGTTTCTCGATTGACCAGATGATGGATGTTGGGAGTGTTTCCAGCTTTTTGTTTATTGTGAATAATGCTGCTATGAACATCGGTGTGCAGGTTTTTGACAGACACGTGTTTTCATTTCTCTTGGGTAGTTACCTTGGAGTGAAATTGCTGTGTCATATGGTAAGTGTATGTTTAACTTATGAAACTGGCAAATGGTTTTCCAAAGTGCCTGTATCATTTTACGTTCCCATCAGCGATGTATTTATATTAATTGTAAGCAAATGTATTCTCCTAAAGTTGCTGAAAGTTCTTATCTAAGCTAGGCCAGTTATTTATTGTCCTTGTAATCTTGCTCATTTTTTACTTACTCAGCCCTTTTCTTCATGGGTAGTTCAAAGGAAAATCAGATTATTCCTTGCTGAATTATAAGGAATTCAGAATGAATGTGACCAAAAATAAAGACCCAGAAAGGTATTTTCTCTCTCTTTATAGGGAATGGAAAGATATAGATGACGTTATTAAGAGAAGGACTTTCTAGCTTCAGTCTTTAAAAATAAAGATCAGTTGCATCAGAAACCTGAGTTTACATTCTTTCCGATGGTAGGGCAGGGAATGAGGTTAGTTTATGGAAGGAAGTACTCCCCCCCCCCATTTTTTTTCTGGTGAGGAAGATTGGCCCTGAGCTAATATCTGTGCCAATCTTCCTCTATGTTGTATATGGGACACCACCACAGCATGGCTTGATGAGTGGTGTGTAGGTTCACACCCAGGATCTGAACCTGCAAACCCCAGGCCACTTAACCACTACTCCACTGGACTGGCACCAGGAAGTACCTCTTTTAATTGATGGATACTTGGGAAATTGACTAAAGTTAGGGTATGGTCATTAACTTCAAATTTTGAGACATCAGAAAAGAATTCAGAAATCTAAAGATTCTAAAAAGGAGAAAACTTGATATAGTTCCCAAGTTGTTATTTTTAAATATTTTGAAAGGAGAGCTGTGATGGTTGCAAAGAGGCAGTCCTAGAAATGAGAGCGGCAGCTGTTCAGTTGGGCACTTCCACTGAACGTAGGATAAATGCCAGATCTTCTTGCTACACCCTAAATACACCTGGACAAAACCACAGCTCCTGGAGAACCAAAGCACACTTCATGGCAGCCCTCGTCTAGGGTCATCCACAGACCACACTGGGGATGCTGCCAGCTTCAAGTTACACCCCAAGAAAATCAGTATCAGTTGACAGACTAGCCAGCTCATTGCTAAATTAACTTCAGCTAAATTTTTAAATAACCAAAGGTTGTCTTTAAAAAAATCTCTCCACATCTCTTCTCAAAGGTTTTCTCCCTGCTTCTGATATTCATCTTTTTTGCCCCATCCCAAGCGCCTGGCACATATATCATTTTGTTGAGCCTGAATTTAGCCAAAACAGATATTAACCAGTAAAACTCTTGTTCATAAAAGGTTCATTTGAAATTGTTAAACATGCATCCCGTGCTCCCTGGAAGTGAGGGACTATTTGGGCAGTAAAGGGGTTTTCCTGGCACCCATCGAAATGCATCCTATAGGTGAGGGGTTGCTGTTTCACAGGCCCTACCCTTATGAGGTACATTTGTACATGAACTACTGGTTCCAGTGTTTTTAATTTTTAATTTTTTTCTTTTGAGGAAGATTAGCCCTGTGCTAACATCTGCTGACAATCCTCCTCTTTTTTGCTGAGGAAGACTGGCCCTGAGCTACCATCCATGCCCATCTTCCTCTACTTTATATGTGGGATGCCTGCCACAGCATGGCTTGATAAGGAGTGCATAGACCCGCACCTGGGATCCGAACCAGTGAACCCCGGGCCACCGAAGTGGAATGTATGAACCTAACTACTGTGCCACTGGGCTGGCTCCTTAAGTTTTTAATTTTTAAGAAAGAGGAAAATCCTCCTTGGGAGCTTAGATTCTGTTGGGATAAACTGAGTAAAAATGTTTTATATGCCAGGAAAACATCTGTCTATCCAGGGAACTGTAGCTTGACAGAGGTGCGGTTAAGTGCTAAGTAAGAAAGGAGGAAAAATGAATACGACAGTACACAGCCAGAAAGACTGGTCGGTAAATGTAGTTGGCAAAATGTGCCTAGTTATTTTGTAGCTCCTATTTTTAATTAGCATTCTGTGTAGTTTTCTTATTTTCAGAAATTCCCTCTCTCTAGAACACACGCACATGCACACACGCACGTATGAGCATGGATTCTTGTTGTTGTTTTCCTTTTCAAAGTTCATAGCTGCATCATTGCACAGATGGAGGATATTGGAGAAATGCTATATGGGAAACATAAAGATGTTAGTACTTCTGGTTTGGTTGGGTGGTGGGTTGATTTCAGGAAGGGTCCCAAGGTGTTCACGTCTAACCCGTGTTCACGCTGGGCTTGGCCATATGACTTGTTCTGACCAGTGAGTGAGTAGCCAACACAACGCAGCAGACAGTGGGAATGCTGTTAATGCCACTGGGATGCTGCTAACCCCCATCTTTTCCTCTTTGTTCTTTCTTTTATATATTTATACAAAATCACAGTTTTTACGTTTGTGACAGACAAATAAAATTGATTTGTGTTCATAACTTAGCAGTTGCCTTACTATAGACATTGACCATTCCGTGGCATTCTAGTAGTAAGAGAACTTTATTTTTCTCTTGGAAATCAGGCAATGGCATTCGACTCTCCCCTCCGTCCAGTGGTGAGTTGGTAAATGGTCAACAACTAGTTCTCTGTAAAACAGCCCTGATTTGTAGTGTTCTCTGGTTTCCGTGGTGTGAATACTCCCACGTGGCTGATTTCAAATTACCAACAGGACTTCACTCAGTGAGGCGGTGGGAAGAGAGGCGCACACCATTATTATATTCCCACCATGCAGGTACAATAATGTAAATAACCGCCAGAGCGTAGGTAAAAATAAAAGGTAGGAAAATAATTAGGAAATGATGAGTTTTGAGCAGTTACTCTCATTGATTTTAATACAGCTTATTGTCCATTTATATTATTTAATTTTTAATAACGTTTGTGTTTAACAACCCGTTTGCAGAATTCCTGCAAATTTAATAATTGGTTCTTACAAATTAGTATGAACAGGTTCCAGCACCTTCTCTGTCTCATCCTACCACAGCTACACCGATGTCTACGAAGAGGATGGCATGTGGGCTCCTGGAACGTTCTACCAGGGAAGCAGAGCAAAGTGGCGAGGGGGGCTGCGGGATGGAGGACGCAGGCTCAGCCAGAATCACGTCGTGTTTTCATTGAGGGCTTTCTACCACTTTTTGATGGTCGATCCCCAGGTTTCTGGGGCATGCTGATTGGATGGTGTATGGAAACCAGCTTAGAGCAACACTCTTGTTTCCTCTGACTCACTCTTCTCTCTTTCCAACTCCTATTGGATACTTCTGCCTAAAATGAGCCCAATCTCTAAATACCAAATACTCAGCTGTTCTATTTTGTAATATTTCATTCTTCGAGGCCAGGGTGAGAGAACGCTGGCCCTCGAGTTCTCCCTCGGGTACCTGCTCTGAGCGCAAAGTCCACTCAGATAATTTCTTCATTTATGCTCTAGTTGTGAAAACGTTTCATTGTTTAATGGCAACATGTTAAAAAGCCATTGTTTTGCTGTTACTCTTTAAAGCTTATGCTCCTGGCTCGTCTGAACTTTTCTCTCTTGCTTTACCTGTGTTTCTGTGTTTTTTTCCTATTTCACTCTCCATCTGGTCTTCCTTCTTAATTTTTTCTTTTTCTATTTTTTGTCTTTTCTCTCTGTGTATTTAATTAGTCCACAGTATAGAACCACTGTATACATTTTTATTATTTCTTGTTTTTATAGAATAGAATGTTATATTCTCTTAATTTAAATACCACGTAAACAGTGTATGTTCTTTTTCAAATAAAACATAACATGAGCTTTATTTATGAGTCCTTGATGGCTTTTTTGGGAAATTGCCAATTGCCATTGAGAGGGAAAAATAATTTTCTTACATCCATCCTAAACACTCTATTAGTTCAGCCTGAGCGAACACTACCCAATGATAAACTAATAGAAGAAGCAACGAATCAAATTTTCAAAAAAAGCTTCAGGAAGCTGAGACAGGGTAGCATCACAATGTGCTGTCAACATAACTTCAAGCCATTTTTACCCAAAATTGAAAGAAAAAAATCTGGAGCTGTTGTAATAACCAGAATTCTGTACAGCAGTAGGGTTGGAACCAGCCAATGACATTTAATCTAACTTCTTGAGTCATTTGGCTCCGCAACTTGTGTGCTATTCTTTAACTATATAGCAAGAAAGATGGCCGAGAGCTCAAATGTGTGCCACATATGTGTTTGAGTCAGGGAGAGCTGCTCCCAGCTGGATGACACCAGAAGTGTGAGAATGGCAGAGAACACGACACACCCGCAGCTGCTACATGAACAGGCGAAGTGGTGCCCATTGTTTAGACAAAGATGCTATTTTTAAAGTTTAACACAAATGCAAAGCTTTGACCCTGCAAGATCAGGAAGCAGTACTTCATTTTGATGAGGCCTTACTAGAACACTCTGCACTCTCAAAATCACATTTAGAAACTAGAAATATCCAGAAGGGAAGCTATAAAATTATTACAATCTAATAAAACAAGACCTAAGGGAAATAGTAAGTTCCTTGAATCATTCAGTCAACGGAGATAAAACTGAAACTTCTGGAAGATAGAGACCATGGCTTGTTCTCTTTTGGGTCCCTCAAGTGCCTGACTAACAACTACAGACAGCCTTATTTCACATGTAAAACAATTATAAGAATAATACTTCTCTAGAGAATATACAGATGCTAGGTCTTGGGGTCTGTCTTAGTCCATTTGGGCTGTGATAATAAAAATACCACATATTAGGTGGTTTAAAGATTTTATTTTATTCCTTTTTCTCCCCAAAGCCCCCTGGTACATAGTGTATTTTTAGTTGTGGGTCCTTCTAGTTGCGGCATGTGGGACGCCGCCTCAGCATGGCCTGATGAGCGGTGCCGTGTCCAAGCCCAGGATCCGAACCTGCGAAACCCTGGGCCGCCACAGTGGAACACGTGAACTTAACCACTCGCCACTGGGCCGGCCCCCTATTAGGTGGTTTATAAACAGAAATTTATTTCTCACAATTCTGGAGGCTGGAAGTCCAAGATCAGGGTCCCAGCCTGGTTGGATGAGGGCCCTCTTTTGGGCTGCAGACTTCTCATTATGTCTTCATGTGGCAGAAGTGGCTAGGGAGCTCTGTGGGGTCTCTTTTATAAGAGCACTAATCCCACTCATGAAGGCCCCACTCTCATGACCTAACACCTCCCAAAGACCCTACCTCCTAATATTATCACATCAGGCATTAGGATTTCAATATGCAAATTTGGGAGGACACAAACACTCAGACCATAGCAGGCCTAAGACCACTCCAGCCTCTGGCAGATGCGCTAATTAAGACCTATCTCATGGAGACCATTAGGCACACTTTTTAAAACGGTCAGATTAATGACTCTCCTCCCCTACCTCCCCACCCCCAGTGCAGGATAGTTGTGGTAGAGAATGTGATTCCACCCTGGGACCCAAGTAAGGCTCCTGGCTCCTTTCTTTGAAGATTCCACGCTCTGGAGTACCCTTGGGGAGAGTGGTATGCGGTGGGTTTCAGTGCACATTGGGACACTCAGGGGACAGGAAGCAGAGGATAGCCCTGTCCTTCTTGTCCGTGCAAGAAGGGAGGATTTGGGCAAGACCTGAACATAATGACTGCCTCATGGGGGCTAGGTAGATGCCCCATCCTTCATGAGCCAAATTGGAATTATGAGTAGGAGGAATAAACATTTCTCCTCATAAAACGGGCAAGCATGGTTTTAATTTAGATCAAGGAGATTCAAGTTAGATCAAGAAAGATTCTTCTCTCAGTAAGAATTATTCACAATGAAAACAGTTCTCACTGAAACGCGAAAGATGTGGCTTTCAAGTGGATGCCTAACTGAAGTCAGATTTCCATATAGTTCATGCATGTACTTACTATAAGCAATTGAAACAGGTGAATGCAATTGAAAAATAGGAGATTCTGGACACAGAAAACATAGAAAAGTGTGGCACAGTAATCCAACAAAATTGACAATAATTTTTCCATAATTGATCAAAAATGATTCATGTTCAGAACAAATTAATGAGAGCTTGAGTTGAAATTTATGTTTATAAAAGAAACCAGAAACGTATGGGAAGATTAAACTTCTGCCTGTCACGCTGGAGAAGGTCTTATTTGGTTTCAGGGCTTTACTTGATAACAATTAAATTTCACTTTTCTTTGTCAGAGTGCTCAGGTGTGGAACTAAAATCTTTCTGGAGAACCACTTGATTCAAAACACAGATTATCCTCTCCCATCCCTCCCAGCATGCTTTCAGTTCCCATTCTTGAGCTATCCATTTCTCCCTCTGAGATGAAAACTTTTTCAAATCTCATCTGTTAGAGGAAGTTGCTTTTCCTTTTGCCAAATGATCCAAATAATTTGTGGTTCAAGGCGATTGTTCCTCCAATCCTCCAGGTGCCTAATCTTGTGGGGCACACACCCTTATTCCATGGGGCTTTATTCTGAGGAAGATTCTTTTGCGAGTCATGGTCCAGCTGGTGTCACTTGAGAAAGTGTGATGAGACTAATTGGGTGAGCTAGAAACCAATTACTTCGGAGTGAAGGAGGCAGAACAGGTGAAGATGGAATGCTG